ACCTGGGAAACTAATCATGCTATATAAGATTTCTTGAATGAAAGAGTGTGTTTTAAGTTCTTTGGTCTGTGCCAAAGCCTGGCTAGACATTTACCAGTCCATTTCCTTTTCCTGGGCACCCAGAAAAACTGTATTTCTTAGTTTTCTTGGCAGTCAGGTAGGGAAATTGTGACCAAATGCTGGCCAATGGGAATGTGAAAAGAAATGACCTGGGCCTTCCACAAAAGCACCTTCTACATATTTTCATTGTTTGATCTGTGTGACGGGACTCAAAGGCCTCTGAAATGGTGGAGCTGCACGACGGAAGAAGCCTTGTCCCTGATCTGTGATATGGGCTATGACTAAACCTTTGTTGAGTTTAGCATCTGAGATGGTGGGATCTATGTGTCATTGCAGCCCAACCTAGCTTTTCCTGACTGTATTAACTACTGTAGAAACTTGTAAGTCTATTTGTTTTTGAGTTGGGCAGGACTAAAATGGTCACTTTAATTTGATACTTCAAAATGCAAATGTCGAAGCATATCTACTTATTCAGCTTCTTCATCTGTATGTTCCAAATGCTTTGAAAGAGAAACATGGAGTAAGATAATGACTATTCAGTAGAAAGCAAAAAAGAGTACAGAGCACAAATAACTCACAATTAGCATAACAATTCTTGCTATTAATATGAATAGTTCATTCCTTCTCTAATTTTTTTTATAGTTTAGATATCTGCTATGTTTAAAAGAAAGCTCCAAATACACTGCCTTTTTCACGAAAGGAAGTTGTACAAATCTGTCAAATGCATGAATATATTATGTATTTAATCTGTTGAATCTTCTATGTAAGAATGAAATCCACACAAAAATTAATTAGGATCTACTGTGTGCGTTTTGTTGTATGGCAATGCTCTTTTTGGTTGGTATTCAGATGGGGATGTTGGTGAATTCAAGCTGCTTGTAGTGATGCTTGTCTATTAAATAATCTTTGCTAAATATGCCCAGAAATGTGGACTATATTATTGGTTATTATGATCCTTGCCAGCATGATATTCTCTTAGACTTCTGGTTGCTAATTTCACACAGGATCTTTTCATGACCATCATATATTGTGGGGAACATTAATTTACTCTGAAGATCAAATTAAGTGAGAAGGTCTTTTCCAAACAAAGTACATGAGAGGATATTAGTATAGTGCTTGCAAATACAATTATTTGATCCAGTGTAGAAATCTTCTCTATGCAATTTTGCCTGAGTTCCCCTATTTGCTTACTACACCATCGTTGTGTTACCACTTTAGCTTGTATGAGCCTTATATCATGACCTATGGCAATTACAGTTGAATCTTGAACAACTTGGGGGTTAGGAGCACCAACCCCCTGCCCAGTCAGAAAATCCATGTATAACTTTTGACTCCCCACAACTTAACTACTAATAGCCTACTGTTTACCGGAAGCCTTACCAATAACAAAGAGTCAATTAACACATACTTGTATGTTATATGTATTATATATTGTAGACTTACAATAAAGTAAGCTAGAGAAAAGAAAATGCTTTTTTCAAATTGTTGCAGATATCCAAAATATTTCCCGATATATTTATTGAAAAAAATTTGCATATGAGTGGATCTGTGCAGTTCAAACCTGTATTGTTCAAGGGTCAACTGCGTTTCTCACCTGGCTGCTCTTGTAGACTGTGAGTTACAAGAGCATACACACTAACAGCCTTTTAACTTCATATCCTAAGTGCCTGGTCTAAAATAGAAGACTGGTTAATGCTTATTTTATGACTATTGATATAATTGTTTAGAATGTTATGCTCTTAGAGTTGGAAAGACCCCCTTACAGCAAGCAAACATGTACTCAAGAGTTACAATATTTTACTAGTTTTTATATGTGGTACATATATAAATAGGTCATGTTTTGTATCACTACCTCAGGATATTATATACAGTTTCAGGATACTGAAATTTTAAAAAATTGAGATATAATTGGCATAACTTTATATGAGTTTCACATATACAAAATAATGATTCAATATTTGTATACACTGCAAAATGGTCACTATAGTAAGTCTAGTTACCATCTATCACCATACATTGTTAAAAGTATTTTTTTCTTGTGATGAGAACTTTTAAGATCTACTCTCTTTAGCAACTTTCAAATACAATACAGTATCATTTATTATCTATAGTCACCATGCCATACATTATATTCCCAGGGCTTATTTTTTGCATAAGTAGACCTTTGTACCTTTTGTCCTCCTTTGCCCATTTCATTCCTACTCCACTTCTCTCCCCCTCTGGACCACCAATCTGTTGTGTGTATATGTGAGCTATGATACCAAAAAATTTTAAGAGAAACATGGGGCGAGGGTGGGAAGTGGAGGAAATATTTAAAGAAGAATTTAACATTACTTAGAGGTGCAAACATTGACCTACGTTTGAGCAAAATGTCAGGATGGGCCATAGGGCGTTAACTATATTGTGACTCGGGTGGGAAGTCCTATCTTATATGAAAAGGTCAGTCTTAGACAAAACATTCAGCCAAACAAGCCCATGAAAGATAAACCAGGGAGTCAGAGGAGGGAAAGATTTGTTATACAGCCATCTCACATTCTTGTTTTAGCTTTTACCCTGCCTACATTGCTATGAAATAGGACCAGCCTTGAATGGGAATTTGTTCTATAAAATCTCCCAGAATCCACTGCATCTAGTATTTAGCCAGGGCTGTTATTGAATTCTTCCTTGTATGTAATGTCAAATTTTTAAAGGTGTGATTGAAACTTCTATTTGGGGTTCTTTCCTCAGTAGAGCTGAAGAACACCTGGTAATTATCTTCAACAGAAGATGCTAAAGTGCCCCAGATAGTTTTCCTTTTTTATGAAATCCCAGTTCCCTTATTTATTTCTTTCAGGGTCTTGTTTCTTAAGCAGCCATGACTCCGACTCTGTGTGGAAATGTCCCTGGGATGTCGCTTTCCTCCTGGAACTCTGAACATCATTCCATAAAAAGAACATGATGAATGCCCAGGAAAGAAAAGCTAGTATATGAAATCCCTAAATGTGATTTTTCTTGCATACTGTCTGTCTCCTCCCTCGTTTATTCACTCAGAGCACGTTGTACGTGCCAGTAGTTCTAGGCGCTCTGCAATATCTTAGTGAATAAAGTGACCCAAATCCCTATCTTCACCAACTTTGCATTCCAGCTGGGGGAGACAGATAATATGCAAAATATATAAGCAATCAGAGTGTGCCAGCTGGTAAGAAATGTGGCATAGAAAAATGAAGTGGGGAAGGGCAAAGTTAGTGTCTGGGGGCTGTAGTTCTAATAGTGGCTAGGACAGGCTTGACTGAGAAGGTTGTTTAACAAATGATTGAAGATGACAATTTAGGGGACACTAACTTCTTAAAACTTATGAAGCAGCCAGTCTCTATTCCAAGGGTCCAGAGAACTGCAAAGTGGGGCAGAAGGCAGGAAACTCTTCTAGGATAAAGAAAAAGAAACAAGGAAGTAAGTGTAGAGTCCAGAGTTGGCTTGGCAGGTGGGGACTGGCCGTCTGAATATACTGCGTTTCTGGTCATGCGGAGCATTTGCAGGGGCAAGAAGGTTATCTAAGTTTTGTTTTGCTGATGTGGCATCCCAGGCAGGTTGAACTCCATCTCAGATCTAGAAATCTGTTTCAACAAGGTGAATTCTGAGTAAAGAACTCAAGTTGATGAGGGAGCCGACCAAACAGGCATCTGGAGTAAAGCATACAGGGCAGAGAAACAGCCAGCACCAAGGCCTGGAGGTCAGAACTGGCTGGTCTGTCTGAGCAGCACTAAGGTGGTGTATGATGCAGGGAGCAGAGTGAGCGAGGGCAAGGAGCAGGGATGAAGACAGAGAGGTGCAGGCTGGAGTGTGTACAACCTTGTACATGGCTATAAGCACTTCGGCTTTTACTCTGGATGGGGAGCTATCGGTGGGTTTTAAGCCAAGGACTGACCAGATCTGATTATGCCTTAAGAGGATCACTGTGTGCTGAGGGTAGAGGAGGAAAGGGTGGCAGTTGGGAGACCAGCTGAAGGCTGTTGTAATGATTCAGCAGCGTGATTATGTTGTCCCAGAGCAGAAGAGTGGAAGTAGCTGTGGGGAGCAGTATTCAGATTCTAGATACGTTTTGAAGGAAGAGGCAATAGAGTTTGCTGATGGGATGGATGTGAGTATGAAAGGGAAGGAGGGGGTCACGGTGGTCTGGAAGGTTTTTGGCCTGAGCAACTGAAAGGTGGGGTTGCCGTTAATGGCTGGGGTAGAGAACACCTTGGAGAGATGCAGGAAGGTGGTGGTAGTGTGTAGATCAGGAGCTCAGCTTTAGACACGATACATTAGGGAAGACTATTAGCTTTCCAAGTGGAGATGTTGAGGAGGCAGCGCATCTACAAATATGAAGTTCATGGATGAAGTTCCGGCTAGAGATACACACCCCAGAAGTGTCATTATGTTGAAGGTATTTATAGCCCTGAGACTGAATGAGATCACTAAGCTGGCATACATATTACAGAGAACGGGTGCAAGCAGCAAGCCTTAGGGTGTGCCACAGGAGGATGGGCTGTTTGTAAACATTTCATACATGCGTGCACAAGCCACAGAACCATTTTGGTGGAAACAACCTGAGTGAAGAAACTTTAGAGAAAGGGGAGTGATTCAGCTCAGTTTGAGGGAAGGACAGGACACTGCTGTGTGGCACATGACCGGTTGGAAGAAACCTGGAAGAGTAAGAATACAACAGTGAGTGAAGAAGGCGAAGCTGATTGCCAGAAGCAGGACAAAGGGACAATCTGACTGTAATAGGAGGCAGTTTGGAGAAGCAGGTAGAAGCAGGGACAATGTTTTGCAACCTTGTTTCCCGGTAAACCAAACAGCACTGTTCTAGCCCGGGCTGCCCGGGAACCGCCGCTGAGATGGCATTCTCATCCGCAGGAAGTTTACTGGGGCTGTTCAGCAGCGCAAGGTTTACTGGGGCGAGCTCGGCGGAGGCACACCTGAAGGAAGTAAGGCCACCTGAAGGAAGTAAGGCGGCAGCTCAGGCGGAGGCGGGCGCTGAACTGGGAGGGGCAGTGCGGCTTCAGCAGTTCCCACAGGGTGCTGTGGACCTGGGACAGCTCCTCAGAATTGTCCAAAACCGAGGTAAGGGGAACAGGTTTTGTATCATTACACCAGCCGCCTATTGGCCCAGGCTGTTTCCCCACCAGAGCTGTGTTACCTTGGGTAAGACAGTCCTCTGCAGCTGGAGGCAATCTCCCGCGAGGGGCACGGTGGTGAGCCATCGGCAGCTAATGTTCTCAGGAGCTGGGGTGTGAGTGTCCTGGCCCTGAAGGCAAGGGGGGGATGTAGCCAGAGCACCTCAGTACCCACTGCAAGGGCCTGCAAGTGAAAAATGCACTAAGAGGTCAGGCACTACATTTAAACGAATGCAAATAAATCGGGATAGCTTCTTTCTCCACCCTTGGAACACATCTCTTCTCTTCATTTGCCAGCTTTTATCAGATGGTCAATGTTTTCATCTAGGATAGTGTCATTCAATTACTTGAGAGAAGTGACTATAAATAGTTGGACAAAATAGGAAAAGTATGCAAGAACTAAGGCTATTAAAATGTCTCTAAGAGCTGGAGCCTCCCATTTAAGGAGACTGAAAAGAATACAGCCTGCATTCAGGCTGCCAAGAGAACCAGTGATTTTCTACTGCTTCCCTAGAGGCATTTGTAAATGTGTTGAGGTGGCTTTGTCACCGCAGTGACTGGGAAAACTGCAGTGTGAGGGACAGTTGTACATAATGAAGCACTGTCTGCCCCAAAGCCAATGGCTTCTCTATTGCGAAATGCTTGTGGTGGAAGGAAGTTAGGTGCAAGTGGTTAGAGGAGGATGGCCAGGTCATTCATTCCATTAACCTGGGCATTTTTGAGAGTGAAAGGGTTTATTAATAATTATGTGAAGACAACTGGCATAAACTGTGAATGAGGCTGCTGAGCTGGGACTTAAGGGAGCCCTCGTATACGGGCTTGCAATTACTGCACAGGTAAAGGGATCAGTTAAACCTAGGAACACAGGTGTGAAGAATGTATGCAGACACTTACTTTCTATATTGCCTGGAGTCCCCTTGTTGTCCTATCGACCATAAAAAAAAAAAGGACTGAATGTTTATCCTCCTGTGGCATAAGGAGAGTTATCCATTTTAGCTACAAATTTCTGACTGATAAAAATTGTCAGCATGCCTAGGATGGTAAGTTTGAGTATGGACAGGAACTGTGGAACCAGTAACCTGAACTCTCATGAGAGGAAAAGTAGTCCCCCAGTGCTGCGTTTCCTAACTGTTTCCACATCGTGGCATACAGAGAAATTGGTTTTTAATTGTAGGGCATCCTTGGTTAAAGCAGGAGGCTGAAGATCACAGGCTCCATCTGGCCACCCCCAGGCTGCAAGGTTTAAGACCATGGCACTCCCGGGACATGTCGGGGTACACCACTGAGCAGCTGGGCCTTACCAAGTAAGTCTTGAAAGCGTAGGAAGTTTAGAATAAAACAGAGATGGTCAAGTAAACCTAACACATGGCTGTAATATTCCTTGCTTAGTTTAGGAATAATTTGTGTTGGTTTCTTTAAGGTGCTTAAAATGTTCATGACAATTTGGCATATGGGCAAATTGGAGAGATTACACCTTAGTGTCTGATTGAAAATGTGTACTTCTACAAATGTGATTTCAAAATGAATGGTATAAGAAAACGGGACTCAGTTCTTACAGAATATAGTATCAGCATGTTTCAGAGAACTTGGGCCCGGGCATGTGCCATTCACGTCATGGTTCTCGTAGGGTGTGGAAGGGCAGGTGAGGGGGTGGTAACTGAGGGGGCAGACGGATGGGCAGAGTGTGGGATGTGCTAAGCCTCAGAGGATGAAGGACTGTGGCCTGCCATGCTGCTGCCACAACCACTCTTCCCAGAGAAGCCTAAACTCACGGGATCTAGGGCGTTCTGCAAGCAGCTGGCGGCCTAGTCCAGTGGGCCCACATGCCCGAGGTCCCTCACTTGTCCCAGACTCATCTTTAAGGCGTCTGCTCATACTACCAGCCAGGTAAACCCCAATCACCCTTCCTGGATGCGCCATCAGAATCAAAGTGAGGAGGCTTCTTGCTCCAGGTTGTGGCCCAGTGTCGGGACGAGGTTCCAGCCCAAAGGTGGTGCAAGGGTAGGACTACCCCAGGCCAGATTGGGGGACTGAACTGCACATGTGCAGCCTGAAATGCTCTCCTTATGGGAGGACAAAGCACCTAGGAGAGCAACTCAGCTTTCTGGCTCAGGCCCCTGGGAGACCCAACCTAATATCTGCCACTGTCCAAAGCCGCGGCAACCCGAACGCACCTTTCCTTCCATTATCCCCCGGGGGCTAGTTGTTCCTCCCAGCAGCAGTTAGAATTTGTCTCGGGGACCCATCCCATTCTGCTTGTTCCTCAAATCTTTACCCTGAAAAACAGACTCAGGGCATTACTCCTTTTTGATAAGAGCCATTTGAATGGGTGAGAGGTGATCTCTCACTGCAGTTTTGATTTGCATTTCTCTGGTGAGTAGCGGTGTTTGGCACCTTTTCATGTACCTGTTGGCCATCTGTGTATCTTGTTTGGAAAAAGGTCTATTCAGATGTTCTGCCCATTTTTTGTTCAGATTGGTTTTTTGCAACTGAGTTCTATGAGTTCTTTCTATATTTTAGATATTCAATCCTTATTAAATGTATGATTTGCAAATATTTTCTCCCATTTTGGTAGGTTGCCTTTTCATTTTGTTGGTGTGCAGAAAATTTTAGTTTGATGTAGTGCTACTTGTTTTTGGTTTTGTTGTTAAATCCAAAAAATCATCACTGAGAGTAATGTTAAGGAGCTTACCCTTCCACGTTCTCTTCTAAAAGTTGTATGGTTTCAGGTCTTTATATTCAAGTCTTTAATACATTGAGTTGGTATTTGTGTATGGTGTAAGATAGTGGTCTAGTCCAGTTTTCCCAACCCCATTTCCTGGAGAGACTGTCCTTTCCTCATTGTAATCTCTTAGCTCCTTTGTTGTAAATTAATTGACAGTATATGGGTGGATTTGTATCTGGGCTCTCTCTTCTCCATTTATCTGTGTCTCTTTTTATGCCAATACCATACTATTTTGATTACTACAGCTTCATAGTAGAGTTTGCATTCAGAGAGCATGATGCCTCCAGCTTTGTTCTTCTTTCTCAACATTGCTCTGGCTATTTAGGGTCTTTTGTGGTTCTATACAGATTTTAGGATTGCTTGTTCTGTTTCTCTAAAAGATGCCATTGGAACATGGAATGCACTGAATCTGTAGATTGCTTTAGGTAAGTATGGCATTTTAGCAATTAACTCTTCCAATCCATGAGCACAAAATACTTCTCCATTTATTTGTGTTGTCTTCAATTTCTTTCATCAGTGTCTTACAGTTTTCAGTGTACAGGTCTTTTACCTCCTTGGTTAAATTTATACCTAGGTATTTTATTCTTTTTGCTGGAATTGTAAATGGGATTGTTTTCTTAATTGCTCTTTTTGATAGTGTGTTATTAGTGTATAGAAACATAAAAGATGTTTGTGTATTGATTTTTATATCCTGCAACTTTACTGAATTAATATATTTTACATATTTTGGCAGGGTCTTTTTGATTCTCTCTATTATATCATGTTATCTGCAAATACAGAGAGTTTGACTTCTTCCTTTTCAATTTGGGTGCTTTTAATTTCATTTCCCTTGCCTGATTGCTCTGACTAGGAACTTCCAATATTATGTTGAATAAAAGTGGTGAGAGTGGGCATCCTTGTCTTGTTCTTGACTGAAGAGGAAAAGCTTTCAGTTTTTCACCATAGAGTATGATGTTACTGTGGACTTGTCATACATGGCCTTTATTATGTTGAGGTATGTTTCCTCTATACTCACTTTGTTGAGACTTTTTATCATGACTGGATGTTGAGTTTTGTCAAGTGCTTTTTCTTTTTGCATCTATTGAGATGGTCAGATGGTTTTTACCCTCCATTCTGTTAATGTGATGTATCACATTGATTTGTGGATGTTGAACCATGCTTGCATCCCTGGAATAAGTTCTGTTTGATCACGGCATATGATCCTTTTAATGTATTGTTGAATTTGGTTTGCTGAGGATTTTTGCATCTATCTTCATCAAGGATATTTGCCTATAATTGTCTTTTCTTGTAGTTTCCTTGTCTGGTTTTGCTGTCAGGCTAATGCTGGCTTTAGCCTTGGAAACTTCTATTTTTTGGAAGAGTTTGAGAGGGATTGGTATTTTTCTTTAAATGTGTGGTAGAATTCATCAGTGAAGTCATTTGGTCTTGGACTGTTGTTTCTTGGGAGGTTTTTGATAACTCATTCAATCTCCTTAGTAATAATCAGTCTTTCCAGATTTTCTATTTCTTCATGATTCAGTCTTGTTAGGCTGTATGTTTTTAGGAATTTATCCATTCCTTCTAGATTGTTGAATTGGTGTATAATTGTTCATAGCAGTCTCATATGATCCTTTGCATTTATGTGGTATCAATTTTAATATCTCCTCTTTCATTCTGATTTTTGAGTCCCCTCTTTTCTTTTTGAGACTAGCTAAAGGTTTATTTTATCTTTTTAAAAAAGCACTTAGTTTTATTGATCTTTCCTATTTTTTTTTCATTTCTATTTCCTTTATTTCCACTCTGATTTTTATTTCTGTCCTACCAATTTTGGGCCCCACTTGTTCTTTTCCTTGTACCTTGAGGTGTAACATTGTTGTATTTGAGATCCTTATTTCTTGATGTAGACATCAATCACCTAATAAAGGCATTATCTGTTAAGTCCATCTGGTCTACCATGTCATTTAAGGCTAATGTTTTCTTACTGATTTTACATCTGAATGATCTATCCATTGATGTAAGTGGGGTTTTAAAGTTCCCTACTATTAGTGTATTGCTGTGGATTTTTCCCATTACGTCTGTTAATATTTGCTCTTATATATTTAGATACTCCTATCACGAGTTCATAAATAATTACAAATGCTATACCCTCTTGTTGGTTTAACCCCTTTATTATTATATAATGACCTATTTTGTCTCTTTTACAGTTTGTCTTAAAGTCTGTTTGTCTGAGATGAGTATAGATACGCAAGCTTTCTTTTGGTTTTTATTCACATGAAATATCTTTTTCCATTCCTTTACTTTCAGTCTAAGTGTATCCTTAAAGCTGAAGTAAGTCTCTTGTAGGCAGCATATAGCTGGGTCTTGTTTTTTATCCTTTTAGCTA